TCCACGAGTCATAAAAGAGCCAAGGTTGACTACCCCTGGTTTATAGCAATGAGCAGATTGTGAATAATGCACACATTTGTTAGTGTGTTTTTGTGTGCAGAAGCCTCATATTATAATCCAATATTCTGGTTTTGCTCCAGTGTTTCTTTGTAACTGTTCTGATGAGCCTTTCTCCTTGATAGTTATAATAAGGATCTGCCATCTGCTTTGAAAATGTTGCCTAAATTGTGCAGTATAAATGCTTCTTTTTAAACAAAATCCCCTAAAGCAAATATAATATAATTACCTTTTAAGTATAGATTAATTTATGCAGGCTTTTTTAAAAATGTTGATTTTACTACTCTGTTGATTTAGCTGTGTTTATACAGTATTCCTCTGTCTTTTCTGCTTTAGCTGTGTTTGTTTTCTTTGCTTTTTTTCTCTTTAGTTAATTTATTTGTTTGTTTTTTTTCTCTTATGGGGGTGATATTGTTATAATGTATTATTTTTAACATGAACAGCCCTGGAAGTTTTTGTTCTGCTTTTTAAACTAAAGTCGGAGAAAAGCGAAGATAAAAATGCCAAACTAAGAAATAATAACTTAGCACAGTGCTGGCTGGGGAATTCTGAGAATTAAAGTCCATGCATTTTATGTTGCTAAGGCTGAGAAACACTGCATTTATTTAGTTTATTTATTAAACAAATTTATATAGCTGCCAAGCTCACATAAAGGTAACTCTAGGCGGCATACAAAATTTAAAAAAATCCATCATATAATAAAAACCCATAAGAAAACTCCACAGGTTAGCAGCATATCTACAGAATCTTCCCAATTTTTCTATGTTGTCTATTCCCCAATTTACACTTGCTAAAAGTGTAAAGATGGACCATAATAGCAATGTTCCAATATTTGAGGGGCTGCCACAAAGAAGAGGGGGTCAACCTATTTTCCAAAGCACCTGAAAGCAGGACAAGAAGCAGAATGGATGGAAACTAATCAAGGAGAGAAGCAATCTAGAATTAAGGAGAAACTTTCTAACAATGAGAATAAGCAACCAGTGGCACAGCTTGCCTTCAGAAGTTATGGGTGCTACGTCACTGGAGGTTTTTAAGAAGAGACTAGACAGCCACATGTCTGAAATTGTATAGAGTCTCCTGATTGGCAGGAGTTTGGACTAGAAGATCTCCAAGGTCCCTTCCAACACTTGGTATTCTGTTATTCAGACTCCCTGGAGATTTACAGCCATTCCTTGTACAGTAGAGGATCTGTTTGAACCAGGATTTTGAAAACTTGGAAAGAAGCTAGCCTTTTCCTCAAATGACAGCTAGGTTGGAGATTTCTTACCACAGAACATTTGATTACCAGAAAGCAAACGGATGAGGTTGCTCCCTACAGTTTCTTCTAGATCTAGAATGCTCTTGCTAATCTTGGTTCTCATTCTGGAGAAAGCGAGATCTCCAAAGAAAGGACTAAGCTGCAGTTTCCTGAACAACTTCTGTCATGTCCAGAGGCATATGTGTAAATAAAGACCATGCTAAAGTCTACTGTTTTGCTTTCCATCCTGCCAGCTTCCAAAAGATTAAACAAATACACAAAGGAAATGTCACAGTTTTACCTTCACCTTTGGGATTAATACAGAAATAAAAGGCAACAATGAGAGTCGTCCCTTGCCAGTTTCCTAATCAGGGGGAGTAATGCTGTTCTCAAATATTATTTTAGTGCACCCAAAATTATGGCACTGGCAGATAGGAGTTTGACTCATATCTTTTCAGCAAGACTTATCTCTTCTGTTTATGTTATTTTATTTTGAGTCATTACTCTGCATTATTTCCTTGCAGCAAACTGGAAAGCAAATTTTCCGCATCCCTTCTCTTATACCCCTCCCCCCCATCTCTTTGGAAACGTTGAGGTGATATGGCTTTCCGGGCAGGATAGGAACACAAACTTAGGGATGAGGGGTTCTTGTTGTTGATGATGATGGCCCTGCCATTTCTTGGAATGCTTTCAAGTCCTGTTTTCAAATCCCCTCGGATGACACTGTCTTAAAACCTGACATTTTCAGTTCGTCCGAAAAACTAGTTCTTCCTTTGAAAGCCAAACTTTCATCCTTGTTGACCCCTCGGTTGCAAATGTCTGCTGGAATGAAAGCAGCAGATCAAAAGAAACTCCAGGTGTTGCTTGCTTTCCGACAGACAGAGACCCAGAGCCTTGTTCTCACAGTTGTGATCGAGGGTACAGCTGCCTTGCTTTGATTATTATTTATAATGCTTGTATCCCAGGGTTCAAAATGCATTAATTCTTCAGCCACATCCTGGGCCAAGTTGGAAGAATCTGGACGGCTCGTCTCCCCCCTTCCGGGTTTGAACTCAAAAATAGGTGGAGAGATAAAGATGGAAATTACGTGGGTAGCATTTGTCTGCAACACTGTAAAGCAGAAAATCTGGGCAACGGTCTGATCTTGGGAAATGTACATCTATTTTAGAAGAAGCTACGTTTTGATTTTTAGCACGTGGGCACACACATTCACACACAGCCTGCCATGCACACTCCTGTATAAGAAGTTGCAGACAGGTCTTGCTGGTTGGGCTGCATAGAAATTTAATAAATGCATAAAAAAAAAAATACACTCTCTTTGTGCTTCCATGTTCTCCAAACCATCTTTCCACCACTGAAGCCAACCAGCTTCACAACCTGGTGGGAATGCCTGCAGAGGTCCTCAATCTCATCCATAGTTGTCCCAAAGGTGCTTTTTCAAAAGGTAACTGGACTTTCTTTGTCTTTTCTTGAAGATGTTTCACTTCTCATCCAAGAAGCTTCATCGGTTGAACAGATGAAGTCGCACAACCGATGGAGCTTCTTGAATCAGAAGCGAAACGTTTTGTTCCTTTTTTCTCAAGGTTAAAAACAGTCGGGTTGCCTTTTGAAAAAGCACCCTTGAAACAAACTAGTGGGAATGTCTCTCCTTTTGAAGAAAAGCAAAGGGTGGCCAGCATCTTCTCACCTCTTAAGGCCTGCTTCTTGGTTTCATTAAGCCAAGGGGTTCTTCTTCACTTGTGCAGGAGAACTGGGGAATAAGTAGGAGTGATTAAGGATCTAGAAAGACGTGAAAAGAAAGAGAGGACAGCCAGCTACTCAGAATTGTTACTCTTGTGTTAAACTTAAGGAGTTCTGTTTTTTTTCCTGGTGAATCTAACTAAACATTAGGAATTTATCTGCCAGCTCTGGCCTTAAGTGGGCAATCCAAAGCATCTTCCTCATACCAAGCTACTCTAGATAAATTGGACTATACCCCCAATAATTCCCAGCCCTCAGGGACTCTAGGAGCTACAGAACCAGGGCAACAGTTCCTAAGATTCTTAACCAGTGTAGGAGCATGTGAACTGAATGGGTGAGCCCAGCATCTGTGGAGAGACTTACCTTCAGGCATTCATGGATTGACCTTTTATAAACTACGTTTCCTTTGGGAAAGGAGCCCTGAGATGACTTACAATTTAGAAGAACAGATGCGGGGGTGGGGGGAAAAGCTTAAGAAAAATAGAAGCAAGTTAAATGAAAACATGAAAGATAAAATTCATTGGGCTTAAAAGGCTAAGCAAAAGAGATCAGTCTTTATAGCTCTCCGAACAGCGCAGAGAGAGTAGATCAAATGGCAATCTGAGCGGAGAGCATTTCTTGGGATGCATCTTCCTCCCCAGTTACAAGTGACCCTCAACTCACCACCACAACGGAGCCTCGAATTTATCTGGCTATGTGAGAAATTTGTTAAGTGAATGTTATGACTTTTCTTGCCACAGCTGTTCAGTGAATCACTGGTAAACACAGCTGCTAAGTGACTCCGGCTTTTCCCCGCTGACTTTGCCTACCAGAAGATCGCAAAAGGGGATCACATGACCCCAGGGGACCCTGTGACCATCGTAAATGTGAATCAGTTGCCAAGCATCCGAATGTAAATCAGGTGACCATCAGAGGCTGCAACGGTAGCAAATGTGAAAAATGGCCATAAGTCACTGTTTTCCTGCTGTTGTAACTTTGAATGGTCACTAAATGAACTGTCGTAAGTGGAGGACTACCTGCACTGCTGTTGGAGTGCCAATATCTCTCCACGGTATTAATAAAGTACATCAGCCCTGAGCTTAGAGACAAGAACCCGCTGACCTTGAGAAAAAAACAACCCTATGTAGTTATCCTCTTCCTCCAAAGAAATAATTGTGTTTAGTTCTTCATGCCTGGATGATGGCAGAAGAGAGATGCTGATGGAAATTTCCACAGAAGCCCGGTAGAATTCAGTGAACCTAATTCAGTGAATCTAAAAAAGATGTTGAGACTCTAGAAAGAGCGCAAAGAAGAGCAACAAAGATGTTCAGGAAACTGGAGGCTAAAACATACAAAGAAGGGTTGCTGGAATTGGGTTTGTCTAGCCTAATGAAGAGAAGGACGAGGAGTGACAGGATAGCAGGGTTCCAGTATCTCAGGGGTTGCCACAAAGAAGAGGGAGTCAAGCTATTCTCCAAAGTGCCTGAAGGCAGGACAATAATGTTGTGAGCCGCCCTGAGTCCTTCGGGAGAAGGGCGGGATACAAATTGGAATAATAAATAAATAAATAATCAAGGAGAGAAGCAACCTGGAACTAAGGAGAAACTTCCTGACAGTCAGAACAATTAACCAGTGGAACAACCTGCCTCCAGAAGCTGTGAATGCTCCAACACTGGAAGTTTTTAAGAAGAAACTGGACAGCCATTTGTCTGAAATGGTATAGGGTTTCCTGCCTGAGCAGGGGGTAGGACTAGAAGACCTCCAAGGTCCCTTCCAACTCTATTATTATTATTAACACTGCCCTGCTCCAGGGCTCTGCTTTCTCCCCTTTCAAATAGCAGTGTGTAAGGTAACCAAACGGTCTCTCCCTTTCTCATTTCTTCAAGGGCTGAAATCAGCTAGGAAGCTTTGTCTGGAGAGGTTTCCTTCATCTTTTATCTCTTTCACTGTTTGCTGCTTTTCTTTTAATCACATTTTCTCTTTCCAGGTTAGCTTGAACGATTCACACAATCAAATGGTGGTTCACTGGGCTGGAGAGAAGAGCGATGTGATTGTAGCTTTGGCCCGGGATAGCTTGGCATTGCCAGGTCCCAAATTTAGTGATGTAAGTATTTTGTGTTTTATGCCTGGCTAATTATTGTTTATCAAATATCAGTATATTGTTTGCATTTAGGTTGGAAAACATTCCTAAAGAAGACACCTTAATCTTTTCTGAGCATCAACAGAGTGTGCTGCTTTAATCACTCCTCCTCCTCCTCCTCCTTCTCTTCCTCTTCTCCTTCTCCTCCTTCTCCTCTTTCTCCTCCTCCTCTCCTTCTCCTTCTCCTTCTCTTCCTCCTCTTCCTCTCCTTCTCCTTCTCCTCCTTCTCCTTCTCCTTCTCTTCCTCTTCTCCTTCTCCTCCTCCTTCTCCTTCTCCTCCTCCTCCTCCTCCTTCTCTTTCTCCTCCTCCTCTCCTTCTCCTCCTCCTCCTCCTTCTCCTCCTCCTCCTCCTCCTTCTCTTTCTCCTCCTCCTCTCCTTCTCCTCCTCCTCCTCCTTCTCCTCCTCCTCCTCCTCCTTCTCTTCCTCCTCCTCCTCTCCTTCTCCTTCTCCTTCTCCTCCTCCTCCTCCTTCTCTTCCTCTTCTCCTTCTCCTTCTCTTCCTCCTCTCCTTCTCCTTCTCTTCCTCCTTCTCTTTCTCCTCCTCCTCCTCCCCCCCCCAAAGAACTCTGCAACTATAAAGCATTTTTTTAAACCTTGGGTTCTGGTGGCTCTTGAATCACAGCGCTTACCACTCCTGAACGTGTAGGTGGGACTAATGGAGCAGCAACATCTAGAAAAGCCAAATTTAAGAAAAGGTGATTTTAGGCTGCCTGGCCTGCGATTTTTGGAGCAGGGGATGGCAATTAACATGTAAAGTTAGCATATTCATATTTTTAATCTATAAAGCCAAATTACCAATTTAATGGTAAAATAATTAAACCACCAAGCTAATTAAATTAATAGTTAAAGCATTAAAGCTAATAATCAGATCAGATTAACATTTAAATAGCTCAACCTTAATTGAATTAAACCTTCCAAGTCCTTCCCCCCCCCATTTGGAGGGCTGATGGAATTCTACCAAGTGCGATAGAAAGGAGGGCTGTGTACAATGTTGTTACTTTTTCTCAAGGATCTCACCAGGAACAAGAGGCAGAGTGTGAAGGTGGATCTCCACACTTCCCTCCCTGCGCATCCCTGTCCCCATCCAGGGAGCAACTTGAATTGTTTCCAGGATAATAATTTGGAGTTGCTTGCACACCTTCTTTGAAAGGCAAGGAGTAGCCGCCCCAGATTTTGCAAACTTTATGCGGCAGGGAAACAGCTCCTGTCCTATTAAAACCAGACGTTCAGCGAGTTTGTTTTCTTTCTGAACCAAAAAGTGTTTCAATGGTCCGTGAAACGCACAATCCTGTCATTTCTCGTGGTTTTTTTTTTCTTCATCTTCCTTCGCTAGGTTTATATATCCTATGATTATGGGAAAACGTTTAAAAAGATATCCGAAAAATTTGGTTTTGGCCCAGGAAACTCCAGCCAAGCTGTGATCGCTCAGTTCTACCACAGTCCAGCCGACAACAAAAGGGTAAGTAAAATAAATAGCTTGACTGTTGAATGGAGAAGTTGCACAGATAATCCTTGACTTAACGGACGCAGTTGTGGCTAGAGTTTCCGTTGCTAAGCAGGGCAGTTGTTAAGTAGCCCACGTCTGAGATTATGATCTTTTTTGTCACAGTTGATAAGTGTTTCACGTGGTCCTTAAAGGGAATCTGGTTTACCCATTGCCTGCTTGTTGGAAGCCGGTTTGGAAGTGGTCAGAGAACCTGGGGTGCTTCAACCAATGACAGAGAGCCAATTTGATCTAGCAGTTGAAGGCACCAGGCTAGAAACCAGGTAATGGTGAGTTCTAGTCCAATCTTATGGCACAAAAGCCAGCCAGGTGACTTTGGGACAGTCACTCTCTCTCTGAGTCACCTCACCTCTCAGGGCTGTTTCTGTGGAACTAGAACTCCCTGTCTCCTGGTGATTGGCCCAAAGTCACCCAGACAACTTTCATGCCTAAAGCGGAACTAGAACTCATCGTCTCCTGGTGATTGGGCCAAAGTCACCCAGTTGATTTCATGCCTAAAGTGGGACTAGAACTCCCCATCTCCTGCTTTCTAGCCTGGTGCCATAACTGTATGGATAATCAGACCTGAACTTCTTAGAACCTTTGTTGTTGGCAATTGGACAGCATAACTAACTATTGAATAAACTAAATTAAATTAATTTTGAAAGAGGTGATAGGTGCCCTCTTCATCTTTTGGGACTTTGTGTATTATCCAGCTAATTGAGTTTGTTCATAAAACCATAGTTAAATCTATTGTGTCAGTCACAATTTTATAGCTGTCTCTTGGCCTGTTCTTTTAACCTCTTTCTCCTTCCTTCCTTCCTTCCCTTTCTTCCCGTCCCTGCCACAGTATATCTTTGTCGATGCGTTCTCCCAGTACCTCTGGCTCACCATGGATTTTTGCACCACCATTCAAGGCTTCCCAATTCCATTTAAAGCCGCAGACCTTCTCCTGCACAGCCAGCTCCCCAATCTTGTCCTGGGATACGACCGATCCCATCCCAACAAACAGGTGAATAAGAGAATGCATGGCTTTCCACAAATCTTTCCTTTGCAGCCAATGAGATGTTCTGCATCGGAAGGGCTTAAGGAATAAATTTCTTGGATCTCCCAGGGTTTTCCCTTCCTGCAAACAGCTGCTTTCCCTTTAACTGACTCACGAGAAGTCCCAGATTCAGGGCAGAAGGTATACCATATGTCAGGGGTCTTCAAACTTGGCCCTTTTATGATTTGTGGACTTCAACTCCCAGAATTCCTCAGCCAGCGATGCCAGTGATGCTGGCTGAGGAATTCTGGGAGTTGAAGTCCACAAGTCATAAAAGGGCCAAGTTTGAAGACCCCTGACATATGGTTTCCATAGGGAGCATCAAAGATATCAAGATGGTAGCTGGAACGATTGATTGAAGCTCCATTTCCATTATATTTGTGTTGCATGCACAATCTGCCTAGAAAAGGGCAGATCTTGCATTGCACGCTTGCAGCTAACACTTAACTTCTTTGGAATTCTTCCTGTAGATGCCTCTGATGTAGCATTTCAGCCCCAGGGCTGCCCTGACATCTGACTCCCAGCACAGTGGCTTCCTGGTTATAATGTGACCATGTTCATAATTATCTTAACAATGTTGAGTTCCTTTACATTGAATGAAGTTGTGGGCCATCACAGGCCCACTTGGTCTGGCATTGGCTGTATTAGGAGAACTCCTGTTTGAGTAGGGGGTTGGACTAGAAGGCCTCCAAGGTCCCTTCCAACTTTGTTAATCTTTACATCTTTAACCCAAACTGGCTATGGGCCTCCAGGATGTCACCTTCCATCTCTGACGGCCTCTAGAGCAGAGGTCCCCAACCTTTTGGGCACCAGGGACCGGTTCCGTGGCGAGAGGTTTTTCCGTGGGCCGAAGGGGGCGTTTTTTTGTGTGCCACCTTCATCTCGCGGATGGGGCTTTGCTTGTTTGTGCAGACCGGTTGGTGGCATGCCGCGGCCTGGTACTGGTCCATGGACCGGAGGTTGGGGACCCCTGCTCTAGAGGTGATCCTAGAGGACCATATCATGATTGGCCACATCCCTAAGCCGTATATTTGCTGCCTGATGTACCTGAAAGGGAGAGAAAGCAGATCCTGACTCCTCCTATCCTTGCAATTTCTACATTTCCAGTTTTCCTCCTGCGCTCCTCGGCTGCAAACCCACATCAGGATTTTGCACATGCTCAGTTGCCTTTGAATTTGTCCCTTTTTCTGTCCAAGACTGAGTCCCTGGATGGAGGAAAAGTCGCCAACCACAGCCTTCCCCCTGTCTTCCCCCCCCCCAACCTCTTTTCGGACAAGAATCCTGCTTTTGTTCTTCTTTAGTTCTGCTTGACATTGTTTGCTGGTGCTTGGAAGGAGGTAGCACCGGGATGGGGAAACGGATGCCAGGGAATGTACCGGCTGCTTTGATTCTGGCAAGAACGATGCTGTTTGTCTTCTGTGGTCACCCACCAGTATTTTTATGGTTTCTTTCTGCTCCAATGCACCAGTGTCTCTCTCTCTTTTTTATTTCCTTTTTTTTTTAGCTACAGACAAATCCTGCCTGGGGATGAATATAATGCAATATTTCTGTCTTTCTGGTCTTATTAGACAGAACATTTTGTTCTGTCCCTTCTCTTTCCTTCCCCTCCTTCCCTTTCCTTAGAAAATAGGTTCAGCAGTTCTTTCTTTTCCTTTCCCTTTCCCTTTCCCTTTCCCTTTCCCTTTCCTTTCCCTTTCCCTTTCCCTTTCCCTTTCCCTTTCCCTTTCCCTTTCCTTCTATTTTTCCTTTCCCTTTCCTCGTTCCTTTTCTCCCTTTCCTCTGGTTCACAGGAAAGAATCCACCTTGATGGATTATTATTTTGCTCTTCGAATTTAGCTTGCCCTAACTTGCATCTCAATGGATCTCGCCATCTTCTAATTTTTTTCAGCTATGGAAATCGGATGATTTTGGGCAAACCTGGATTATGATTCATGAACACGTGAAGACATTTGCTTGGTAAGTTCTGTCATTTATTCCTGAAACTTCGAGGAGTCTTTATCCCCCTGCATAATTTAACTTCCATGCAATGGGAGGGGGGGGGATTTCAAACGAGAATGTCCCAATCTTGTGAGATTTGGTGACCTTCCGAAATTGGGCCAGTATTACAAAAAAGGGATATTTTGTTTATTTGCAGCCCCTTCCCTTCCTCTCTCCTTCCTTCCACTTGTGGTGTCCACATGGGCTACAAGGGGTCTCTGGTCTCCAGATTGGAAAGCTTTGAACTAGGACCATTGGGAGGTAGCATACTGGGATACTGGCGGCATTATTGCGTGTATCTCAACCTCAGCAACTTTACAATGTGTGGACTTCAACTTCCAGAATTCCCCAGTCATTGTTCTCCATTGCCCAGTATCCTGGTTGAGAAATTCTGGGAGTTGAAGTCCAAACCCCTGTAAAGTTGCTGAGGTTGAGAAACACTAAGCTACCAATCTGTCAGTGCCATTGATAGCAAAATAATTGGGGACGTCTGCTGTGGTGTGTGTGCCTGTGCCTGTGTGTGTTGTGTTGAGAAAGAGAGAGAGTGCAACAGTGGCACAGTTCTTCTCCATCCCTTAATGAAGAATTCTGGAGAACACAAAAATCTTTCCCTCTTTGGAGGTCACGTTTTAATGGGTCTAAATCAGGGCTCTCCAAACTTGGTAACTTTAAGACTTTTAAGCCAGCATGGTTGACTGGGGGAATCCTGGAAGTTGAAATCCACAAGTCTTAAAGTTGCCAAATTTGGAGACTCCGGGTCTAAATGGGAAAAAAAATATCACCCCATTGCTTTTTTCCCCATGCACTAATTCCCCCCCCCTTTTTTTCTTCCTGCCACTAAGGGGCGTGGAGCCGTACGATAAGCCAAACACAATTTACATTGAGCGGCATGAACCTAACTTGTCCTCCACAGTCCTCCGCAGCACGGATTTCTTCCAGACGCGGGAAAATAAAGAGATTTTGCTGGAAGAGGTTGAGGACTTCCAGCTGAGGGACAAATATCTCTTTGCAACGAAATCTGGGGTAAGAGTTTGGGGGCTGCAGAGGTATCTTCCACCAAGCACCCACAAACTGCAGGATGGATGGAAATGCATTTCAAACAGGGAAGCCTTACTGTATCAGACCCCTTTGCAAAGTTTATTCTCCGAGTCGTAGAAGAACACCCAAGGGTTTGCTAAAAAGGTGTTCCAGGGACTCTTGATTTGTATTCAACGTTCAGTTCGTATTTGCAATTTAGATCGATGGATGCTTCTCATGAGGTTTGGCACAGTTTGCAACTGACTGGCTGCAACACGGTGCGGGTTTGAGGCCAGGAGAATAACATAAATAAGCATTTTAACATAGGCCATTAAGGGGCAAATCTCGGTTTATTTGTTCAGGAATTTTAACATGTTACCCATTCCTGTCTGGGCCTCTTGCTGGCTAGAAACTGTTCATCTCTGTTAAATTCATCCCTTAAAAACAAAAATCACAAGACTACAAAGAAGCAAAACTCAAAAAAAAAAACCAGCATTAAAAGAAATGTTTTGATCTCCCTGGTCCTAAATTATAACCAAGTGGTACCACCCTTGTTTTTTTTTTTTTAATCGTCTCAGCTTGGTTAGGGGGAAAAAAAAGCAGAATTAAATGTTGATGTTAATTTTACACAGAGCAGGATATGCCAGAAGCATCCCATTGAACATCTAAAAAGTGTTTTGTGTGAAGCCAGCAGTCCTGCAAAGTACCTCACAGAAAAGTTGATTTTTGCACTTTGGTCCAAATGTACAACTAATTGAGGTGGGATGGCTAGATCATTGCTTTTCTCAGTTTAGCTTTTCTAAACTTTGGACAAACCTCTTTGGGGTTATTTGCAAGTTGAAAACCTTTTACCTTGATCTCCCTTTAGAAAAGTGTTCCTCAGCAAGAGGGGACCAGTTTTTGGTCTTCTGGACAAAATTTTGGGCATCTGCTGCCAGGTGGACCAGATGGGTGTGGATGAGATGGTTAGACCTGATGAAAAGCAGTTTTGCATTCATTGGTGACACGATACAGATGAAGTTTCTAGAAAAAAAAACCTCTTCTCTTTCTCTTTCTCTTTCTCTTTCTCTCCCTCCCTCCCTCCCTCCCTCCCTCCCTCTCTCTCTCTCTCTCTCTCTCTCTCTCACACACACACACACACACACACACCACTTCTTTTTAATCCGCAACCACAGCATAGTTACAACATTGTGGCATTTCTTAATTGCTTGGACACCAACCAACAAGTCAATAAGTATTGGCTTAGGCTGCATGCCCAAAACCACCAGTGTTTAAACTATCCCATTGTAGCAAATGGATTCAGTTCGTTTTGCCACGGTGAATTTGGAGCAGCAGTTTCTGGCAAGCTCCCATGGAAAAGTGTTTTGGGTTTTTTTTGTTTTTTTAGTTTCAAAATTCTGCAGTGCGTGCATACCTGCACAAAGTAACTTTTGGGATGGACACAGTCCTGGAAGGACCCTGTTACGGGTAGTCCTTGACTTAGGACCACAATGGAGGCCAAAATGTCCACTGCTAAGCAAGGCGGTTGCTAAGCGAATGGTGTCCGGTTTTATGACCTTTTTTTTTTGCCGGAGCGGTTGTTAAATGCAACCGTCGTGAATACGTGCTGGTTGCCAAGCGCCTGAATGTTGATTACATGATCGTGGGGATGCTGAGATGGCCATAAATGTGAGGACCGGTCATAAGGCACTTTTTTCAGTGCCCTTATAACTTTGAATAGTTGTGAAACAATTGGTGGTAAGTCGAGAACTACCCATATTAGTCTTTAAAAGGATACCAAAAGCCTGGGAAATTTTTTTTTTTTTTGGTTCTTTCCACTCTAACTTTGCTCGTCTGAACTTACCTCTCTAGGTTCACCGCAGATGAGCAGGAAAGTAGCATTTCACAAGGCAGCCATGTTTTCACAACCTGAAAACATCTCTTGGCAAAGTTGTTGTGATTTCTTGTTTCATTTGACTGCGCTGCCCGAGTCCTGGAGGCAAAATTGTTTAAACATTAAGCTGAAATTTAGTTCTGGAACCTCAGTGGAAGGTGGAGTTTGATTGAGGGCCTTTTTTTTACTTGTTTTCGGCTTGCAGAAACAGCCCTTTTTTTGATTCAGGATGAAAAAGAGCCCTCATATTTGATTGTCTCTGTCCATCCCTTTCCCTTCTCAGCCTCTGTCAGGGGATCAGCTACAAACATCTGTTCAGCTATGGGTCTCCTTTAACCGAAAGCCAATGCAGGCTGCACAGTTTGCAACAAGACACCCTATTAAGGTACGAACAAATGAGGTGGGTGGGAGGGTGGGGACTAGAAACTTTATTCAACCATAAACCACACCTCTATAATCAGCATGCTTTCTTTTTTTCAGATTTTTTTTTGTGCATGTTTCCATAGATCGTAAGCATCCTTTAGAACAAATGCTTTGCAAAGAAAATAATCTCCATCTTTTGGGGGGGGGGGTCTGAAGGTATTATCGTTGTGCCCATTGCACAGCTGAGAGAAGCTGAGGCTTATCTAAAGCTACAGGGAACTCTTGGCAAAGGTGTGAGATTTTGTTGGTGTTTTTGAGATTAGACGTCGCACGTTTAAGCCATTTTGCCCTTTCAAATGCTTTTTATTGCCCTTTTTAAAAAAAACAAAAAAACAAAAACCCCTCACAATTTTCCGCTCCCAAATTTTGTCTTGAAGGAATATTATATTGCTGACACTTCTGAAGACCAGGTGTTCGTGTGCGTCACTTATAGTAACAACAGCACCAGCCTCTATATCTCCGAAGCTGAAGGTCTGCACTTTTCATTGACTTTGGAGAACATCCTGTATTACAGTCCTGGTGGAGCAGGGAGTGACACCTTAGTAAGGTAAGGAGGTGGATGACTTTTTGGAGAGAAATGATGGGATAATGCTCCCTTTCACCTGGGAGAAAAGATAAAATAGAGGAAGCAGGAAACATTGTTGAGCTTTCAAGAGTCTGTTATGATAACCTACAGTATTGTGGAAGAGTCTTAGGCCACCATTGGACTTGTTATAGCAATGGTATAATAGCACTTATATACTGCTTTATTGTGCTTCACAGCCCTCTCTAAGCAGTTTACAGAGTTGGCATATGGCCCCCAACAATCTTGGTTCTCATTTTACCGACCTCAGAAGGATATAAGGCTGAGTCAACCTTGAGCCATCAGGATCGAACTGCTGGCAGTAGGCAGAGTCAGCCTGCAATACTGCATTCTAACCATTGTGCACCATGGAAGGAAGGAAGGAAGGAAGGAAGGAAGGAAGGAAGGAAGGAAGGAAGGAAGGAAGGAAGGAAGGAAGGAAGGAAGGAAGGAAGGAAGGAGGGAGGGAGGGAGGGAGGGAGGGAAGCTAGGAAGCTAGGAAGGAAGGAAGGATTGCAATAGCACTGACCTCAGAAGGATGGAAGGCTGAGTCAACCTTGAGCTGGTCTGGATTGAATTGCTTATAGTGGGCAGAGTAAGCCTGTAATACTGCATTCTAACCACTGCGTACCATGGAAGGAAAGGAAGGAAGGAAGGAAGGAAGGAAGGAAGGAAGGAAGGAAGGAAGGAAGGAAGGAAGGAAGGAAGGAAGGAAGGAAGGAAGGAGGGAGGGAGGGAGGGAGGGGGGAGGAAATGAATGAATGAATGAATGAAGGAAGGAAGGAAGGAAGGAAGGAAGGAAGGAAGGATAGCCATAGCACCGACCTCAGAAGGATGGAAGGATGAGTCAGCCTTGAGTCAGTCAGGATCGAACTGCTGGTAGTGGGCAGAAATGAACAAAGAAGCGGGATATTCAAGATGTGGTATTCAAGTCACATATGGATGGTCATTAAAACTTTGCTAAGACAACTAAGCGGCTGATGGCCTAAGACTTTTGCTGAGTGCTGTGTATCAGTAAAGCTGAATCCCGTGTTTCTTGCAATGTCAGTTTCCTGTCTGTGCCTACCTCCAAGGGCTGGTGGGCGAGTTAGCTCTTCTTTTGGCAGATACTTCGCAAGCGAGCCTTTTGCCGACTTCCACCGTGTTGAGGGCATTCCAGGGGTCTATATCACCACTTTGATCAACGGCTCGTTCAGCGACGAGAACATGCGCTCGGTCATCACCTTCGACAAAGGTGGGACTTGGGAATTTCTCCAGCCTCCAGAGTATACTCACTATGGCGAAAAGATAAATTGTGAGGTAATGATGCCGGCAACCAACGGAATGATGCTGCCTCTTTGAAGGCTTTCGGATCGCTCATTGCATTCCAGGGTCCCAGTTAAGCTTCACACAGGTTGTAAAAGTAGGGGATGTCTGGCGACATCGACCCACGGTGAGCTTATCTTTTTTTGTGTTGGTCGTCATTGGGGTGCACAAGCAGCAGTGGACGGCAGATGTGCACGTTCTCCCACTTGTGTCCATATTTTTTTGAACAAGTGGCTTTCTCTTGCTAAACTTGTGCTTGTGCGTCTCTGCACCGGAGGTCTTGGCTCATGCACTCCACAGCATCTGTGTGGACAATCCGTTGAGCCACATGAAAAGTTGAGTGTAATCTTTTCTTCCTATTGATCAGCTGAGTAATATCTGAAGGATGCTCTAGGACGGGTGCGAGACGATATTCCAGGGGGTGCAAAAACTTGGGTTTTCAAAATTATAGTGTATGTGCCTAATTGTTTGCCATTATTTTGAACTTTTGTAAGGGTTGTGAGAATATATCAGAAGTGTTCTAGGGGTGCGGAGTATAGAAAAGGTTGGGAACCACTGCTCTAGGATATTTTTCTCCTAGAGCAGGGGTAGGCAACCTTGGCTCTTTTATGACTCATGGACGTCAACTCCCAGAATTCCTGAGCCAGCCATGCTGAAGAGAAAGGGAGAGGTTTCCAAGCTGAGCCATGCTGGCTCAGGAATTCTGGGAGTTGAAGTCCACAAGTCATAAAAGAGCCAAGGTTCCCCACCCCTGTCCTAGAGATTCTGGTGAAAATAGCCCTCGTCCTAACTATCTGTGGTCAAACCTTGTCCTACTTTGATGTTGTAATGATCTGTGGGAATGGCCTTGGGAAACAGAAGGGAGAGTTACAGGCTGGACAACCGTTATGTAAAAAAAATCCCACTGAAAGATGGAGGGTGGGAAAGATGTTTTCAGAATTGACCTTACTTACTTTTTTGGAGAGTAAAAGGAAAGGAGGAGAGAAATACTTTCAGTCTTGCAAGATTCATGTCAGCCGTGCAAGGTATTTCTAACAAAGAAGCCCAACCAGGAGATCTAGCTCTGTTTTTATTGTAAGGTTACACGAACAGAATCTTGCAAGGCTGTAAACATTTCTCCCCTACTCTCCTTTTACTCTCTGGGAAACTAGAGAGGGTCCCTTCTGAAATTCTTCCCACGTTCCTTTTCCTCCTGTGGGATGAGATTTCTTTTATGTGCTGATTGTCCAGCCTGTGGCTCTCCTTCCTGTCTCTCAAGGTCATTCCCACAGACTATTGCAGATGTCGAATCTAAGCTTATCAACAAATGTAACAGAAACATGTTGGAAGATATGCACATGGGATGGGAGGGTTGGTCATATTGGTTGGGAAATAAGCACCATTGCTTCTTTGTGGGCAAATTCTGTGCTGTGGTGGAATGTAGTCTGGATTCCCAGGAGGGAGGGAGGGGGAGCAAGAGACAGCAGAATTTAGATAGTTTAGTTGGGAGGAAGAGAGTTAAGATGACTCCTCCCTAGCAATTTTCAGAGAATATCTTTAATTATGTAGGTAGTTGCTTTACTTTGGCAAGATTCCTACATATAGGTGAGGAGCAATTACGGAAACTACTTTGAAGTAACTCAGGTTGTCTTTCTTGGTTTTGGAGCCTGTCCTGCCCATTTTCCAGGAGGCCACCAGGAAACATTGGCCAAGGCAGTTGTGATGCACCTTAACCGCTCAACTTCTAAATGTCTCCCGATTGGAAGGGAAATTTTACCAATAGTTTTGCCCCTTGCCAAAAGAGTGGTGTGTTTTTTTAAGCAGGCAACTGAAACTACATGTACTGAAAATGCATAAATGCATGTTAGTAGGAATTAGCTGCAGTTTTTTTGTCACCGTCCTGTGATTGTTGAAGAGGGGCTCTTAATGCAGCGGTTCTCAACCTATGGGTCGCGACCCCATTTGGGGTCGATCGACCATTTCACGGGGGTTGCCAAGCAAGGCTGTCCGCCATTTTTTTCCCACTTTTCCGGCGGGTGCCTTACCTCCCTTGGGCTGGGCCAGCTGGTGGTCGGCCTGCTCCGTCTCTGCCACTTGCCAGCTACGCCTCGGCCGGCACAGGGGGCGGAACCACGCATGCGCGGCGCTCCCGGGCAGGGAAAGTCCTCGACTTACGACCAGTTGGGTAGTCCTCGACTTACGACTGGTTTAGTCCTCGACTTACGACAGGTTTAGTCCTCGACTTATGACCGGTTGGGGGTCACGGCATTAAAAAGGTTGAGAACCACTGTCTTAATGAGACACACAGGTTCCAGAATGCTGAATGCATCTTGTTCAGTAGGACAAGGCAATTGACATTTGTGTTGTGTTTCATCTTTACTAGCTTTCTTTGGGTTGCTCACTTCACCTGGCCCAAAGACTCAGCCAGCTCCTCAACTTCCAGTTGCGCAGGATGCCCATCCTATCCAAGGAATCTGCTCCCGGACTGATCATTGCAACAGGTAGATAGTTTTTTGGTTCGCTTCGATCTTCTCACTCTCCTCTCCTTAAATTCTGGTTGGTCGATAGTAAAAGCCCAATTAATGATAATCTTCATCTTGCTTTCTCCCTGGCCTGGCTGGCTGGCGATGATGGCCGAGGAATTCTGGGAGTTGAAGTCCATGAAACTTAAAAGTTGCCAAGGTTGAAAAACACCGCCTAAATACAGATAGTCCTCGGCTTACGACCACAACTGAGCCCAAAATTTCTGTGGCTAAGTGAGACAGCTGTTAAAAAGCAAGTTTTGCCCCATTTTGCGATTTTTGACGTCACAGTTGTTAAGCGAATCACCAATAATATGGCTGTTAAGTGAATCTGGCTTCCCCCATCAACATTGCTTGTCAGGAGGTGGTACAAGGACAGCACGTGACCCCCGGGATGCTGCAACCGTCGTGAAACTGAGTCGATTACCAAGCGTCTGAAGTTTGATCAGCCGACCACGAAGAGGCTGCAACATTCATCAATGTGAAAAACGGTCGTCAGTCACTTTTTTTTTCAGGGCCATTTGAACTTCGAACGGGCACTAAATGAGCTGTTGTAAGCCGAGGACTAGCCATATTAGGCTTCTGTTTTGCAGTCGCGGGCACCGTCTTGAGGCACAGACAGATCAAAAGAATCGCTCCGAGATTCACGTGCTTCTCTTTGTAGGTTCTGTGGGGAAGAACATGGCAAGTAAAATGAACGTCTACATTTCCAGCAGTGCGGGCGTCAGGTGGCAGGAGGTAAGGAAATGCGGGACCCTCGTGTGGGGCAGGTGTGTGGGGAGACATCCCTGTAGCTCTAGAGGCATTTCAACACTAGGGAAAGGATTGTGCCACAGCTGAGCATGCACCACCCTGTGCCTCTCTGGCTCAGCAGCTTCTATAGTCATTCGTTCATTCATTCATTCATTCATTCATTCATTCATTCATTCATTCATTCATTCTGTCATGGTTCCGACGAAGCATTGTTTACCTTAAAGGTTCTTTATTAGAGGAACATAGCATCAGCACTAACATAATCGAAGCCAAAAAATGAATTCCCCTCCCCTGTTCACACCACTTGGGCAGAACTGGTAGCTAATTTTTTGTTGCCCAGGCCCAGAATGTCATGGTTCCGACAGATGAAACTCTTCAAAGAACTTCGAGGCATTGTTTACCTTAAAGAATTTTTATTTGAGAAGCATAGCATCGGCACTAACACAGTCGAAGCCAAAAACTGGATTCCCCTCCCCTGAGCACCTAGTATCAAAGCATCGGCACTAACACAGTCGAAGCCAAAAACTGGATTCCCCTCCCCTGAGCACATAGTATCAAAGCACAATTCCCTCCTCCAATTAACAGTCATAAACCACATTCTCCAATTAGTTTGAAATGCAGGCTTTCCCTCCTATTTGCCAATTCTTATCATCTTTTATTTAAATAACCTTGGTTCACACACTAGGTCCAGTATTGTTATGTCTAGCTAAACTCTCATGCACATTCATCCCCCCAGCATTATCTAACTCTAGCTCTAACTCTAAAAGTAAAACATAAGAAGAAAATGCTTGCATCTCCAACTGTTGTAAAAGCAAAAACATCCGATGTTAGTGTTTACACATTCATTCATTCCATCTGTGTGCTCCCCATCTCGTCTAATGCTGACAATATGGGGAGTTTGGGCTTTGGTTTCATTTAATTTCCAAGAAGCACTGGTTCTGGTTAATTACCTTCCTCCTAACCTTGCCCTTTCCTGATGCTTTGACACTACCATCCCCAACTCCCATCATTCCCAGCCAGCATAACCAAAACCATATTGCCAACGGTTGTAGAAGCTACATTTTTTTTTCTTAGTTTGGCTGAGCAAATCTATGAACTGAGGCTAAGTTTAATGTCTCTGGAGATTCTCAAACATACTTGTCCCAAAGATGCTTTGTTTTTTTTTCCTTCAAAAAAGGCAGCTGGATTTTCTTGTTGTTGTTATTGTTTTCCTTTGAAAACATTTCGCTTCTCATCCAGGAAGCTTTTTCAGTTCTAACGGTTTAGACTGGAATTCCATTCCCCACCAGTCAGTTAGAACTGTAGAAGCTTCTTGGATGAGAAGCGAAACGTTGTCAAAGGAAAAAAAAACAAGGAAGTCCAGTTGCCTTTTGGAAAAACACCTTTGAAGCTAGGCTTAACACACACACACACCCCAAATGCCTGTGGAGAAAGGTTGCTGCCCACTTGTGGTGAATGGCGTTTGTCCTTTGCTTGCCCATCTCAATGCACCAGGCTTTTCTTCGGCAAATGCCTCACTCGAGTGTGTTGGGATGATCTGATTGTGGCAAGGAGGGGAGAGCGCAGGGTGAGCTGCCCAAGAGGTTTGGCCGTGTGCCTTCCCAGTGAGGCTTGGCTCCCGTTTATGGAAGTGGCTGTTTCGGTGGGTCACTCGGCCCTGGGCTTTGCAGCTGAGCTCATCCGATGATGTGACTTTCGGCCTGCATTCCGACATCTGCAAAAGGTTTCTGTGCTGTGAACGCAGCCCCCTCCCCTTCCTCTTTGGGGACGGGGCGGGCTTGGTTTGGCTCAGTGGTGGGATTCAAATATGTGAACAACCGGTTCTCTGTGTGGATGCCGCTTCCAGAAGTCCATTCTGTGTCAACGCTGCTAACATCGGATGTTTTACTTTTAGAGTTAGAGTTAGATGATGCTGGGGGGAAGGAATGTGCATGAGAGTTTAGCTAGACATAACAATACTGGACCTAGTGTGTGAACCAAGGTTAATGAAATAAGAGATGATAAGAATTGGCGGGTTTGGAGAACAGGAGGGAAAGCCTGCATTTCAAACTAATTGGAGAACGTGATTTATGACAGTTAATTGGAGGAGGGATTTGTGCTTTGATACTATGTGCTCAGGGGAGGGGAATCCAGTTTTTGGCTTCGACTGTGTTAGTGCCGATGCTTTGATACTAGGTGCTCAGGGGAGGGGAATCCATTTTTTGGCTTCGACTGTGTTAGTGCCGATGCTATGCTTCTCAAATAAAAATTCTTTAAGGTAAACAATGCCTCAAAGTTCTTTGAAGAGTTTCATCTGTCGGAACCATGACATTCTGGGCCTGGGCAACAAAAAATTAGCTACCAGTTCTGCCTAAGTGGTGCGAACCGGCTGAATCACACTGCTGGTTTGGCTCCTACCTAGTCTGAGAAGAGGAAGACAGCAGCGGAAGGCAAAAAGGAATTTTTTTTTCCTTGCTTGACCTCTGGGCTTCCAAGATGCAAAAATATTTGGGAACAGCTGATTTGCTCCCTTTTTGCTTTGTGGCTGTCAAGTTCTGGGACACCTGGCTGAAATCGCATCCAAGACAACTTGGATAAGCAGAAAACCCTAAAATCTACATTTCTGCCAGCCAAAACTGGAGATGCAAAGAGCTTTAGCTTGGCTTTTCCTTATCTGGTAGTTTTCCAAGTGCAGGTAGTTCTCAACTTACAACATTTGTTTAGCGACTGTTCAAAGTTACTCGCACTTATAACCTTTGCAGCGTGCCTGCAGTCACGTGAGCAAAATTCAACTGCTTGGCACACTTGCGTGTATTTACGAGGGTTGCAGCATCCGAGGGTCAAGTGATCTCCATTTGCCACCTTCCCAGCTGGCTTCTGACAAACAGGGTCCATGGGGGAAGTGGGATTCATTTAACGACCACATGGTTCACTGCAATGACTGGCTGAACTGTGGCAAAAAGGTCATAAAATTGGATGCGACTCACTTAATCTTGCTTAGTAGCAGAAGGACAAGAAGGACTGGGCTAACAGGGCTACCTGGATCATGTGGGTTTCTGTGGGAGGTATATCCAATTTTGCTGAAGTTTTCAGAGAGGAGCAGCTCCAGTAACATGATGCCTTGAGGGGGGAAAATGACAGGCTCAGCCTTAGATGTCTTTGTTACAGCAAGCAGGAGCATGAATACCGACTTTCAGAATGCCGAATGCATTTTTCTGTGCATGCATGTTTATATTTCTCCCTTGCTTCCCTGATACTGATCAGACACGGGCTGTGGCCATCTCAGACCAGTGACTTTGTTTGCTTCCTCTCTCAGGTCCTGTCTGGACCCCATTATTACTCCTGGGGAGACCACGGGGGCATCCTCATGGCCGTGACACAGGGGTCAGAAACAAACCAGCTGAAGTAAGCAAAGTACCGATAAGTCTGCCTGACCTGACATTGGAGTCCTAAACCGGGTTAATTTATCTTCCACGGGATTTGCTTTAGGGCCCTGGGAGAATGGAAAAGGAGTCTTGATAGTCATTATCTAAAACTTTTTACTGGGTGAAGAATTTGAAGAGCTGACAAGCCTTAGAGGGAAAATTTCATTCAAGTCCCTACAGCCAAAGTTTCCAACAGATTGTGTGTTCCATCCCAGTGAGCAATCTAATTTGCATCTCGGATTTGAAAAACAGCATGTTTAGGAAAGAAGCCCAACTCAGCTCCCTTTTCCAGCTCCTGGTATCTGACTTTAAGGAAGAAGCCGTGGGCGGTGATTAAAGGAGGCAGCAGATCTCTCTGTCCAGTCTCCTTAATAAGGCCCTTTGAAAAACTCCAGGAGAATTCTTGGGGAGTGGTTTCCAAAATGTGCACAAGGATAGCATATGGATGGTTTTATAATTTTACATAATTTTATTATGTATTTATTATTTATTATGTCCAACTCTTGGAGACTGCCTGGACAAGCCTCTGCAGTTTTCTTGGCAAGGATTTTCAAAAGTGGTTTGCCTCTTTCCTAGGGCTGAGAGAGAGGGACTGGCCCAAGGTCACCCAGCCATCTTTCCTGCCTAAGGTAGAACTAGAACTCACAGTCTCCCGGTTTCTAGCCTGGTGCCTTCACCACTATATCAATAGTGGCTTTATTACAAACCAATAAATGGTTGTTAGCTTTGAGCAGGATCCAAATCTCAACCAGAACAACTACTGTTGTTTTGAAGGGGAAGAGATGGAGATTAATGGAATCTAAACGGGCTCTGTTTTGGCTGAATTTGGCCATTCTCAGGGGTCTTTAAAGGGCCTCACTCTGGGTAGCCTGTATTGTCAGGGTGAGCAATTTGTGCTCCATTTTCATTTTACAGCCCCCCACCATCCCCCAGAATATATGGCTGAAACTTGGCAGCGAGTTTCCAATTTCCAGCAACCTCATTCTTCAGGTTCTGGATAGAGAGGAGTAAAATAGGCATGTGATGCCACACTGCAAGCCTTAGTGGGCTGTATCCCGAACTTAGAGGCAAGTAGCAAGAAACAGGGACTATCTGAAGCAAAAGATGCTGGATTGGAGAAGGATCAAAACCAAGGTATGGCAGATACTTCCTTGCCATTCTTTCCACGTCAGGTATAGCACGAATGAAGGGGAAACTTGGAAAACATTCACGTTCTCCGAAAAGCCAGTCTTTGTGTATGGCCTGCTGACAGAACCGGGCGAGAAAAGCACCATCTTCACCATCTTTGGATCTTACAAAGAAAACGGCCACAGTTGGCTGATTTTGCAGATCAACACCACGGACGTCCTCGGTAAGGGAAGGAGTGGGCCTCCGGTGGCGTTTCTTGATCTCGGTGTAGGCCAAAACATGTCTTTGTAGCATGACAGGGTTTTCCTTTCCCTGCTGACTCCCTGCAACTTAAAAAAATACTCCCCTGATGATTTCCTAGGGGTTCCTTGCACAGAAAACGATTATAAGCTGTGGTCTCCCTCCGATGAACGTGGGAACGAGTGTCTCCTGGGACACAAGACGGTCTTCAAAAGACGGACGCCTCATGCCACGTGTTTCAACGGGGAAGATTTTGATCGACCGTTCCTGGTCTCCAATTGTTCCTGCACTAGGGAAGATTACGAGTGGTAAGTCGAGGTCTCTGGTGAGCGACAGTTATGATGAATATTGGAGGGCGAGGACTTTCAAGGTAGAGGACACCTACCTTGAAAGAGAGGTGGGGTTGCCTCAACGGTAACCCCCAGCCTATGTGGAGAGTGAAATCAAGGGAAAACTTAGTGAGGCCCTGGGGATATGAGGGAAATGAATTCCTTATGTGTCTAGGTCAGTGATTCTCAGCCTCAGCAACTTGAAGATATGTAGGACTTCAACTCCCAGAATTCCCCAGCTAGCAGCATTCTGGAAGTTGAAGTCCATACATCTTCAGGGTGCTGTTAACTTTAGGTCAAGATCTGTTCTCTTGTGGTAACGATACCAATTTTTGTCTGCCATTCTGCCTTGTCTACAGCCTGGCTTGGCTGGCTGGAGATGCTGGCTGAGGGATTCTGGGTGTTGAAGTCCACACCTATTAAAGTTGCTGAGGTTGAGGCACACTCTACCTTGGATACTCTGTGGGTGATAATCCTGTTTAAGTGGTTGCAGTTCCTGAATTCTTGCTTTTCTAATCTTTGAAACAAGATGCTTCAGAACAACAACTAGAGCAGGGGTCTTCAAACTTGGCCCTTTTATGACTTGTGGACTTCAACTCCCAGAATTCTTCAACCAGCATGCCTGGCTGAGGAATTCTGGGAGTTGAAGTCCACAGGTCATAAAAGGACCAAGTTTGAAGACCCCTGAACTAAAACAAATATTTTTCTTTTTTTTACACTTCCCCGTTTAGCGATTTTGGCTTCAAGCTAAGTGAGGACCTATCATTAGAAGTTTGCATTCCAGATCCTGAGTTTGCTGGAAAACTTTTCTCTCCTCCTGCGCTGTGCCCGGTTGGGTCAACCTACAAGAAGACCCGAGGGTAGGTAGCGAGATTTATATACTACAAGGTTGATCATACTCATTTGTAAAGCTTTTTTTTGGAGACAAGCGGAAATAGAATTTCTGTTCTAAAACAGGAATAATTGACTGAGATGAAGACAGTTGTGTCTTAGAAACTGTTTGCATAGTTTTATCTGAGCAGGATGTAGTCCTGTGCGTCACAGGCAATTAAATAAATTAAACATCATAAAAGAATTAAAAACATTGTAAAACAATAAATAGTTTCCTGATAATGTAGTCAAAACCAAGATGAGAATTGCAGTTGAAACATTATATAGAGGATGATATCCTTGTACAATCTAGATAGCTGGTTAAAAGGCTAAAATGGGGGGTGGGGAAAGGATTTTAGGCTTTTCTTAAAGCTAGTCAGTAAAGCAGCAATTAAAATGGCAGTTACCTGTTATTCAGGTAATTGACTGTAATTGATGCTTAAAATAGGGAGGGCAACACAATGCTCATTTCGTCACTACCCACCTGTACCCAGGTACTGATGCACTCCATTAATATATTTACCTGCAAATTCGTTTTGTAGGGCACTAGGGTTTCAATGCATCACTCTCTAAAATGCAAACAGTTGCAGAAAATAATTTGTCATCCGCGTAGGTTAAAGTAACACTTTCCCAGGGCTGTTAACTTGATAGGGGCACTCAGATTACAACTATGTGTGTCTCTGACCAAGCACTCTTGTTTTATTGATGTTAGTTACCGCAAGATATCCGGCGACACATGTTCTGGGGGTGACGTAGAGGCCCGGTTAGAAGGGGAAACGGTACCCTGTCCATTAGCAGGTAAGCCAAGGGAGGGGGGTGGCTTTTGCAAAAACAGTACCTATCCATGTTGTGTGGCTTGTAGATCAGGAAGATAAAACCTGCCTTGTGTTAAGCTTGATTTCTGCTAACTAATGAACGCACACTTAATTTTTTTGAGAGCAACCCAAATGGACCAGGTATCGCTACCAGCTAAGACGGTTGATCAGTAGCTTCGATGGAACGATTGGGAAATGTCTGCTACCACATCGTTCGGGCAGCATTTTTAAAAAAAAATAAATTAAAATTATTTGAAATAAAAGGGACTTAGAATTGTCCAACACTGGGAAGGGAGGGTTTCTACCTTTTCTTGAAATAAAATTACATAGTTGGGGGTGAAAAACAGGAACTTTGCAATGTGGCATACATTTTTTTAAAAAGTTTGTTGGATTATGCTTTAAATCTTAACCATTTGGGGAGGAAAATCAAGACATTTCAGTCTTGACATCAGCTAGAAAGGATGCTACAGAAGCAGAGTGTTTGCAGTCGTCCCTTTCTGATATTTGAGCTCAGAAAATGCTCCTTCCCAAATGTAAAATCCTGGTTCAAAACATTCATTCATTGGCTGATATATTTATTTATTTTTTGCAGAGGAAAATGAGTTCATCTTGTATGCAACAAGGTATTCCATCCATCGGTACGATCTCTCATCTGGGCTGACTGAAGATTTGCCTTTGACCGGGCTGCGTGGGGCAGTGGCCCTTGACTTTGATTACAGCCACAACTGTCTATACTGGGCTGATGTAACTCTTGAAATTATCCAGGTTAGTGACTTCTGTGCTCTCTGTTGATGCGAGGACATTCTAACATTCTACTTCCTCTTAATTCTGCTACTTCCTCCAAAGATGTTTTT